ACAAGGAATGGACATGAGCATTTTGAATGACAAAATAAAGGTCAAAGAAAATGAGAAAAACCTCAACTGATAGATGTATTGAGTCCTGTTTGACAAATAAAATGATTGAGTGGACTGACAGATAAAAGGACAAATGGATAGATGGATCAATGGATAAACAACTAATTAAATCACCCAATCTAATCCTCTCAAACACCCTTACTAATATAACTGTTGTGATCAATACTTGGCAGGACCTCAGCACTGTAACAAGTCCCTGTGGTTGGATTTCTGCATTCAGACACCTCTCTATAATCTCCACGCCATGTTAACAGTCACCCATTATGCACAAGGCCACAATTAGGAAATCACATTGGCAAATCCATCCTGTCATTAGAAGTGTCTATTGCTATTGCATTGTAATTACATTTTAGTAGGTTGTTATTACACCATTTAGAAGCTGTCTGTCTTACCTCAATCTCCTCCTTAATTGGTTATGCTGGTCTGTCCCGCCCCCCAGGGCCCGCCCACCTCTTTGACGGAACATTCCAGTGGTCGAAGCATTTGAAGCTGCAGAGTAGTACAACTGAGTCTAATACGCCACAGAATGAAAGAAATGAAGAAGGAGAAAGAAGTGGGCAGTGGCGGAGAGAGAATTTGGTGAAAGAGAGACAGAACTTGGGATGAAGAAAAAAGGAATGGAGCAGAAATGAGAGAGGGAAAAACTGGTGAAAAACACAGATTTCTTGTTGCATGACAGAATCCCTCCCAGCCAACCAAGGCTTGTCCTTTAATACCCAGAAGCCTTCATGTGGCTTCTCAACGATTGCACATGGGGCAACGCTGACCACATCGCTGCCACGCTGCTTATTATACTGCATTGCTCACACTCGCCATGTGTATTTGAATATGTGTGTGTGTGTGTGTGTGAGAGAGACTAAGTGCCCATGTACTGTAAATGCGTACAGATGCAAGTGTGCAAGCATGAGAGTGCTGGTTGGTAGGCAGCATCAGTCATGCAGAGAAGCGTTCAATGAGACTTGCATGTCTTAATTTGTCAGCAGCCATGGTGATGGATGGGAGGTAGAAAACCAGAGGCAATATTTAGAATGTGTTGAAGAAAAGGGTCAAAAGAGACAAAAGTGAAGAAAATGTACAGGATCACAAGTATTTCAACAGAAATACAAGTTGTGATTGGACTCATTATTTCTGAGTTTGCAGAAGGCCACCTTGAACATTGGGCTGACTAATTTGCATATTGACAAATGGCCGTGGAAGATGGCTGTCCACCAAAGAGTCTGGTTGTTCTTTGTTTGTTTAAAGCAGTGTTTTCCTTGCCAATGTTGCCAGGTGCTTGTCCAAATGTTGAGTCAAAACAAACAACAAAGACTACCTGGACCTGCTCTGAATGTAAAGTGTCACTTTTATAACAGACTATATACTTTATTAACCCTGAGGGGAAATTCAGTTTTGGCACTCTGTTTTGGTCACACAATAGGAACATATGAACACTAATGAAGATCAATGTTGGGATTCAGTGCCTTGCTCAAGGGCTCCTTCCCAGCAACAAAAATCCCAATTCCATACTGTACTTTGGTCTGACCGGGACTTGAACTAGCTAACCTCCAATTTCCATCCAAAATCCTTACAGACTGTGTTACGACTAGCTTTTGGGACTATATTGATATTTCGATTGTTTTATTAATTTTGGAAACTTAAATGACTGCTTTAAGGTTATAATGTGAAACATTCTGAAAAATTGATTTGAAGTATAATCTGATAATTTAGCTGCATGATTTTAAAGGTTGTATCAATAATTCTGAAACTGAGGGTCACTTACAAGAACTAACAGTTTGAACCATTTAAATACAGGTTAAAAGATATAGATTCACTTTTTTATTGGTCATTCCAAGTACAGAATGTCGATAACAAGAATACCAGAAATGTATTTATTTGGAATAAGAAATAGGTGATGGACACTTTCTTAAAAAGGTAAAAGAATAAACTTATTTTTGGCTCCATACCATCCATACCATACAGGCTGACCCACTCAAACGCAAGCCGCGGTCAACACACCGCATGACTTTTTTCATCACCATCAAATCAAGAATAGAAAGATGAATGAGAGGAAATTGAAGGACGGAGAATATGACATGAATCAAAACATGTGTTCCCTTGTACTGACCACAAGGATTTCCTCTTTATGACCTTCGTGACCAGCCCTGTGTACAGCATACACATGAAGACACGCACACAAAGTTCAACCTCAGCTTCAAGACCTGTGGTCAAAGATGATATATATTCAAGGTATCTGAACCATTTATTAAATTATTCTCAAATCATTCAAGACATTTAAATCTGATATATATAAAAAATAAACAAAATCCATTAAACTAAATAACGGTGCAGATAGATCTGTGAAGGAGAATGAATGAAGTTGTCTCGTTTTGATGATGAGCCCTGACAACTGACCCCTGAGACATGCCAGAACAACAAGGGTCAACTCAGCGCTAATGAGACTTAGCCTGAACCAAATGACGATTCAGTTTTTAGGCTTTTTTTTCTTTTTCTACTTACATTTTTCTTTTTAAATGTCCTTGTTCAAAATGCATCTTAGATAGCTGTTGGTGACAACAATTAAATTACCACACATTCTTAGTATAGTATACTCACTTGTTTGAAGTTGAACTCACTAAAACGACATTCTTTCTGTTATTTACCTCTCTGGAAGTGCACATTTGAATATTCTCCATCCTGTGATGTGTGTATATCAAACAAAGTATACTTTATTTTGTTTATGCGGCAACATCATGACAATGTTCATGTTAATTATGAACTAGTTTGACACCATATCCAATACCATAATGACTCTTATTGCTGATTTGTAAAACATATAATAAGATTCAAAAATGATGTAAAAATGATGTAAAGTATGACTTTGATTGGCAATCAACCCCCCCTTAAGCGTTATAATGGCTAGATGGATGGATAATCATATATCAGTAAACTCAACCTCAGTGATGTGCTGTGATTCTGCATCTCAAACTGACGTGTCACTTTACTAGGTTTTTGCTTCCCTCTACTGTTCATCTATAAATACAACTTTCACTATCAGGATGATTGTTTACTCTAACCTATGAATGCACAAAAAAAATAATGACTTAACCCCAAATTATAGTTAAAAAAGACCGTAGGGTGAAAGCAATACAATTTAGACTATTATTGCTAATATTGCTATATATTTCAGATTTTAATATATTGAACTGATCCATATAAAATAATGTATTATACTTGTTTTTCTTCAGGACTTATGACAGGCATGGCATGACTCAGTAGGAAATACATACAGACTCATCTGAAGTGACTCAGTATCTTTTTAAGTCAGAACATCCAAATATAGACAAGACAGGAACAAACAAACACTGTACAAAAGTTATAGTAGTTTGGTGTTAAAACTGTTTGTCTGAGGCACCAAAAAGTTGTGAAATAGACAATTACACTCATCGAAATAGGGCTTGAGGTGTGTGTGTGTGTGTGTGTGTGCACAAATGTGTATGTCTGCGTGCCCCTGTGTACCGACAGGAAGTGGTGGTGGCTGGTCTGAGGTCAGTGGCAGGAAAGAATGGTAACTATGCTGTTGCTGTGACTACAGTTGGTCACAGCACAGGCTTTGGGTTTCCTGACACGCTTTAGCTAGAAACCACATCCAAACAGCACTCCATCCATCCCTGCTGTATGTGTGACATTGATCATTTCACAGTAAATCAATTCATGTTAATGCATCTTAACTGGGTACCATTTCTCCCTGTAAGCTTTCCTTTGCCTCACTCTCTCTCTCTCTTTCTCTGTTTCAACTCACAGCACCCCTCTCCATGCCCAGTGGCATCTATATAAAATGCTTCCTTACTAAATGCTGCTCCACCCTTCTCTTTAAACATTAAACGCTGCACAACAGCGTGACCACAGGAACTAAAAGGCCGTGTTTCTGTGCTGTTTACTAGCCTGAGGCAAACCTCATCCCTCTCATTCACATCTGGGCCCACAACCATCTACAACCAATGAGAGATGGATTCCAATAATGTCAACAATTTGAGGATATTAATCAGTTAGGGACCCTTATTTCACATCACTTTACCAAGAATAGTTATGAAACAGTCAGATTTTTTTCACATTTGTGTTTTCCTTGAATGTCTGCTGTACTGTTTAGTATGTTTTGAGCTGATAAAACTTGAATTTTCTTCAATTTTAAGGCTTTACCTATTAAAGACGTGTTCTAGCTCCACTGTCTAATATACATAAGGTACACACTGTCTCCTCTTTCAACTGCTTTGTAATCACTATGAGATTTATTTTACACATGAGAGTCTAGAAACAGCATCAGTTTCATTTGAGCACTACTCAAATATTTAAGTTTCGTTATTTTTTTCCAGAAAGGAACAGAAGTAACAGCAGCACAATCAAAGGCATGGGCTCTGGGACCAAAATGGAAAATAACTTATCCCTAACCACTAGATGTCAGTCTTGTCAAAGGAGCCTTTTGAACATGCAAATGATGCCAAAGGAGGGTAATGGGTTCATCAATTCAGCAGAGCTGCATGGAAACTTTCTCAAGTGGAGCAGTTTGAACCTTCATCTTGTTCAGTGTCACATTTACACAAGAAAGCTGCAACTTTGGGCAGCTTTATTAACAACAATAACACTCTGTAGGCTTCTTTCCACTATGGTGAATTGCAATGTTGGAGCAATATCAGTATCAGTTTAAAGTATTCATTATTGCATGTTGTGTTATTGTGGCCTTTACTGACCTAATAATATTATCTGACTAATTCCAGGAATGATTGATAGTTTAATTACATAATTTTAACCATTGTAGAAAAAAATAATGTCATTTAATGTGTTATTTGATCTACTTCTTATTTATGAGCAAGTGACAATCGATCATCTGATTTTTTTTTTTATTGATTAAAAAAAGTGCTCAGTGATCTCTGCTCTCAGTCTGAACCGCGCATGCGCATAGCAGACCGAGGAACCAGCCCCCTGTCTGCCAGCTCAGCTGACAACAGCAGCACCTCGGAAACCAGATAATGATGGCAGACTCTGGAAGTAACGAAGCAGTGGCTGTAATCGGTAACACCGATATCACTTCAACGGAATCCGAAAACAACTTAATAAACACGGTCGTACCTTTGGTTATTCTCCATGACCTGTATTTGTGCTGTTCAGAAGCTTGTTTAACTTGTGAAAACTTTCCTCTAAAAGGCCGGGACGTGTTGTAAAGGTTAGCTGTGAGTTAGGTAGACATACAGAAAGTGGAGAGTTTGCTGTAGCTGTATGGACGTGAACTGGTTTCAGGGCGAAATGTCACTACTACCTCTGCAAGCAAACCTTAATGTCACAAAGTTTGGCTAAGTAGCTTTTGCTAAGAGCTCGAAGCTAAGTACGCAAACTTTACTCATGACGTCAGCTTGCTAGCTAGCAAGTCTCAAACACAACACCTAAAGTTTGCTGGGATTAAATTAAACCGAGTCCTTTGTGTCCTGCATGTCTAGTCTAATTTGTTGAAGTTTCGATAACAAAATAACTTTAGCATATCTAAGAGAATAGCTTTTTTCCCCCTAACTTTGTGTAGGGAGTAGTATCTTGTCCTGTCTTGTGACCTGCACAAGTCTGCCATAACCCTGTGTAGAGAAGCACTAATCAATAACAAAACAGCTGTCTGTCCCTCTCTGTTCACCTCTAATGCCTTTGATTAATAGAATACATTTAACTTATTTATTTATTTATGTCTCTCAGACCCTGAGTCCTGCATGCACCTGTCTGTTCACCTGATCTCTTATGCATCACATTAATACTCTTTGTTAGTAACCTTTTTGTCTCCCTTGTTCACTGTTTCTTTCTTGTCTGTGTAGATGGTGGAAAGAGGATCATCTCTGTTAATAAAACTGGAGATCAGTGTTTCAGAGGCAGAAAAGAGAACAGGGAAGAACACGGTTAACATGCAGGAAACCTACACGGTCTATCTCATAGAAACACGGTAGGTCATACACTTTGTTTCCTCATTGAATCAATTGTTTGAGAAAAACCTACTGCTACTTTGCGTGGTATTTAACATCTTTCAGTACCGTTGAAGTGGGACCACTAACACCGAAAAGGAAGTATACACTTTCACCTCTTCATTTCCTTTTGTCCGTTTACTGTTAAAGCTAAATGTTGAATGGATGTTCAGATAGGTGACAGTTGAAAGGAAAAGCAGTCTAGTATGAATCATTTCAATCCTGATTAAAGGAGTCTCTGCAGGATGGCAATGCCCCATATCTACAGGGGAATGAAAATGATGTGAATCATACTGTTTAGTAACCAGATCTCAGCCTCATTTGCGCCCTATGGGAGACTTAAGACCTATGGATTATAAAGTTCTTTAAACACAGTAAGGAAATATCTAGTAGTTTCTAGTCCCTGTAAGTGAGTTGCAGAGACTCTAAAGAGTCCAAGACACATTGTAACTAGTATTGCCTGACACTGTTGTATCTTTTTTTTTAACTATCTGCAGTTTGGAAACTTCAAACAGGACGGGGATCCTCTGTGTGTCTTATTGTCTGATTGGATTCTAAGGTGCAAAGATAGCTGAACATGAAATCAGACCTTGAAATATATTTAGACAAAATATGATAACTGTAACTTTTACATATTGTTTTTGTATATAACTTTAATGTTTGTAACAGTGTGTGGTGTAAAACTTTAGTCAGTGGATAGAATAAAAAGTTGAATAACTTATAAGTTTAATGAATTTACTTAACCAAGTGCAAAGCAGCACTAACTTGGTAGACCCCCTCCTTTTTCAGTTTCCATTTTAGAAGCAATCTGAGTTTCACTGAAGAAGTTTTGTCTATAGGTATTGAATCTTTTTAAATAGTATCATAACCTATTCACCTTTTACAAGATCATTTATAAAGTAATATCTGATATAGTGAGAGAAAATCTGATACCGATATATTGGCTGATATCTTTCTTTGGTCTGTGTTTGATCTTAAGCCATGGAGAGATATACACATATGATAGCGTTTATCCGTGAAATGCAGTTATCAAACACGTGTGGAAAAGATGTGTAACGAAGACAAGATGGTCACTCAACTGGAAAGGAACCGCTAATGTACGTGCGTCCCCGCTTGTCACTCTAGAGATTGATAATGCTCGTTGCAATCCATGTAGCGCCCTCTGCTGGTGAAAGAGAACTGCAAGTGGAATACAATGAAACTCAAATGAAATGCTATTTGGCTGGTGAATAAATCAAGTCATATATTATCGGCTGGCTGGTTAATCGGTCGGGCTCTAGATAGATTTTTCATTTTGTGTTTCACGTTGTTTAAACAAGTACTGTAGTTCAAATGTTTTCCCGCTTCTATGTCCTATCATACAATTGATACCTACCTTTATTTACATTCATGACTCTGTAGTCCAGCTGAGTCTGTCCCAGAGGGAAGTACACCTGCAGCACCTGACACCCTGTGGAGACGCTATAGTGAGTTTGAGCTGCTCAGAACGTATCTCCTGGTCACCTACTCATACATCATCATCCCCCCTCTACCAGAGAAAAGGGTGAGTGACACAAAAAGATATAGGATTTTAAAGAAAAGGGTTCAGTAAATATGATTCATTTTCTGGGCTATTACTCATTGAATGAAGATTTGAAGTTGGTGATATACATCTGCTTTGTTTGAATATGTTCAGTAACATTTGAACTCTATGGATTGTGCTTCTGATAGGCCGAGTTTGTGTGGCACAAGCTGACAGCAGACAACCTGGACCCCGATTTCGTCGAGAGACGGCGAGTTGGTCTGGAAAACTTCTTGCTGCGAGTTGCATCACATCCTGTCCTTTCCAATGACAAAATCTTCTTCCTCTTTCTGACGGAGGTTAGCCGTTACGCTTTTTACACCAAATGTCTCACTAAAGTCTTTCCCCCTTACTTATGCAGGCAGACACACTCTCACACACTCATAGTATCGAACAGGGATTTCATTCTGAAGCATTTTGAAGCACTAGGGCCAACAGAACAAGAGGCTGCAGTGCTGGAGGATACAGACACTAAATAAATAGATAGGAAATGCCATATTGAAAAAAAAAAAGAGAATTGCTTTAAACTGAAATTTCACATTTTGAACTAGTCTTCTTTCTGTAGCCTCTAGGAATAAGCTCTATTCATTGCCTCTTAAGGCGTTATGTTGTTGCCAAAAAGCCCAGATGTTACACGGTGTGGTTGATAATCCTGTCTGTTATGTGTCTGTCATCTGTCAATCATCTCTCCACAGGAGAAGGGATGGAGGGAGGCTGTTTTGGAGACAGGTTTCCAAGACAAGGTAAACATTTAGACCTGTTTTTCTTTGACACACTGCAGTTGATTAGTACCTTCATGTACCTTCTGCTGAAGTGCTTGAATATGAATTATGTTGTTGACATACACTGACTGCGTTTCAGTGTCTTGGCAGGCTTTATGATATGCAGATTGCATCATAACAGAGTACCTTGTCACAGATTCTCCTGTGTTGCCATATGCTTGATAAAACCCTCTAAATGTGAGTGTTCTGTTTCCTGCCAGGTTGACTCCAGACTGAAGTCTCTGAGTGCGAGTTTCAGAGTCAAGAACCCTGACAAGTACGTATCAAATAGACCAAAAAATATTAAAAACACAAGTTTGCTTATTGTTCTGCCAACGACAGAATGTTTGGTTTAATTAAAATCTCTGATCTCAGTGGCAGAACCAGTAAGAAGACGCGTGATAATTAGAGTTTAAAATTAGAACAACACAGACTGAAACAAAGAAAGAAAAAGAGTTGGTCTAATGCAGCTTGATATATGATCTCATTTCTTTTGTACTTCAGGCGATTCACAGCATTGAAACAGTACAGTGATGAATTGAACACTGTTATCACTCAGTTACTGAGGGTGCGGGCGGTGAGTTTCAGCAAACACAAAAACACACACAAACACAAATATTGTCTGCTTTAGTTTGACCAGTGGATCAGGTTTTTTTAGAATCTTGTAGTGTGTAACCTGAGCATTTATTTCATGTAGCCGCCCTATTATTTATTATGATGTTTTTAGTAAGGAAGCATCCGAGGTAAACACAAATGTTTTTAGACTATGTGATGTGATTGCTGTCTTTCTAGAGAGTAGCAGACAGGCTGTATGGAGTTTACAAGGTCCATGGTAACTATGGCCGAGTGTTCAGGTGAGAATTAACAACTCTTTCTTTTCTACATTCATTTTACTTTAAAGGTGCACTATGTGGATTTAGTAGTGAAATTTGAAAGTTAGAGAAGTGAAACAATTGTATGTTATATTTTCTGAACAAAATACACAAACTTTCCTCATAAATTGGTCCCCTGGAACACTGTTTGGAGATAAAAAGCTACCAGTAGAGTTACGGTTTCACTGTTGCGGGCCCCCCTCCATAACTTCTTGTGTATCATTTTTATCTTCAGACAGTTTTCCAGGGACCAAATTTTCCTCTGAGGACAGTTTGTGTATAGTTATGAACATATAAGACAGAATCTGTATACTTCTCCAACTTTCACATTTCCCTACCAAAACTACATAGGTCACCTTTAACTCTTAAACTCTAAATTTAAATTAAATAAAGCAAAAACCAAACACAATTTTAAGTAAAGAAATGTGATGCACAGACTGAATCCAGCAGCCTTTTAGTTTAAGTTTATTTTAGAAACATTTACTCTGTCATACTGTACATCATTTCAAATTTCCATTTTGTGTGTCCTCAAAAACCACACGTTATTTGTCAAATAAATGTAGATTTACACTTCTTCTTTAAGTTACTCATAAACTGATGCATCCAGCAAGTGGAGGAACAGGGTTGTTCCCTCATTATGGAGATACTTTGATTCAGAATTCTCTTTTGTTGTATAATTTCTGCCCTATGATAGGGAAAGTGTATGTTTCACATTCTTTGATAATACTTGAAATAGTCACTTTTTTTTTTGCTTTTGAGAGTAATTTTGTAAATCATTACATGTAGAAGTGTGTTTGTTAACATGTGACACAAAGTGTTTTAGAATGGTCTTAAGTGCTCCTCTGTTTTTGTCTCTCCAGTGAGTGGAGTGCGATAGAGAAAGAGATGGGCGACGGTCTACAGAGTGCTGGCCACCACATGGACACGTACTTAGTCCACTTCAGATTCTCCCTAATTAATACTCAGACACTACACTGCACTGTTAAATGTGTTTTCTGCATAATTGGATTATCATTAAACCACACATTTCTATTGGTTCACTGATGATTCTGACTTTGTGTGCGTTTACACAGGTATGCTGCATCAATAGACGACATTTTGGAGGAAGAAGAGCATTACGCAGACCAACTGAAAGAATACCTCTACTACACCGAAGCTGTCAGGTAAGTTTTTAATCATGGTATCAAAGAGAGAGATACGTTACTGTGAAACTGTGTCTACTCCAGGGTGATCTTAAGTGCTTTGGTACTAGAAGAACATTTTGAAAAATGGCAGAGGAGTTACCCGCACGCCAATTGGACTGGGCTTAAAAGCCACAAAAAGTCCACAGGACGAGATAAATACAACAATAATCTCTATAATTAAGACATGAGACTCAAAGCAAAAGGTGCTCACAGTACAAACAAGTGAAATACAAACAGCAGCAAACGTTTCAGTCCTTATTTCACTTTTTTGAGTTGGTGTGCGGCGGGTTTCTCCTCTGCCGTTCATTGAAGACAGAGACACATACAGTACTTTATATTGAGCTGAATAAGAAACATTTCAGTCAATATTCAATATGAGTCAGTTAAATTTACGCTGTCTTTAGAATTTAAAGATTATCAGAATGGTTTGCTTGTTGATATTAATTTCCATAAGGTCCACATAAATGTTTAAGTCTGCACACGTCATTACTTTAGGTTTAAAGAAGTCTTAACCATCACCATGTTGGAGTTCATATTCAGGCGTCACACATAAGTGTATTCAACGTGCTGGAATGTTCTGGTCTGATTGTAATGTATTCCACTATGACCTTTAGTGCGGGGCTTAAATTACATCAGACTAAAGGCGGCATGATTCCTTGATTAGTCTAGAATTGCAATGATTGGATGAATAACCAAAATTGGAGAAAGAAAATGAACTTCTAAGTAAGTGATAATCATTGAGGCATTCTGAAGCACATGTACCAAACATTTGACTCTTTCCGGCTCCCATGTGGGAGAATGTGCTGCTTCACACGATAAAGCTCCTGTGAGGAGTACTACTGGTGAAGAAATGAATACTGATGATGTATCTTTATGAACTACATATGCAAACAAGACCATCAGAGACAGGATGGAATATTATTACTAATGACTGAAACTGCTGCTACTGCAGGGTAGGTGTCAAGGAGATTAACTGCACACTGCTAAAACAGCTTTTTTATGGCAAAGACTCGTGATGAGTGATACCTTCAACTGTAAAAAACAAAACAGGACATGAGTACAGTACGACACCAGCTTCCACAGAGGTCGTCAAAAAGAAAGTTCTTTTTGAAAGTTCCTCACAGGAGCTTTAAACAAAATATTTCAAAGTGCCGCCCTGTGATGTTTTGTTGGACTTCTTTTATGTCTATACATCAAATAGTATTTTGATGTATAGATTCATCTTCATTAAAATAATCTCCCTGTTACTGATAATACAAATATTTGATGTAAGTGTTGGCAGAGATAATACCCACCCCCTTCCAAACTGCTTGCTAGTATAACACAAGTTATACTAAACTAGATTTTGCCATGTCAATTAAAGGCATTTTAATCATGCAGAGTCCCATGGTCTCTTTTAACCATGTCATTTCCTCTTCACAAGAAGAATACCTGCTAATATATTTATGTTTGGTATAAGCTTGACCCATGAAGGTTTTAGATCGGTCCAATAAGTAATCTACTACAGCTTGATGTTCTTCTGCTAAATGTTGCCATCATTCTTGAACTTCATCCAAAACAAAGCAGCATGCAGCAGCACTAATGCAAATACTTTAGACATGTAAATCTTTAGCTTTCAGTATAGCATGCAATGCAAACTTACAAAAAGCACTGATGAAAGGGCTCTTTCTGCCTGGATGGAGATCAGTAATGTCTGACTTTATGTGTCATTTCTGTTTAACTGTTCGGGATGCAAGTTGTGATTGGTTGATTTAAAACATTTTTCATCTCATCTGTGTGTGTGTGTGTGTGTGTGTGTGTGATGAAGGTCAGTGTGCAGGAAGCATGAGTTGGTCCAGTATGAGTTGGAGATGGAAGCTCTGGATCTTGCACATAAGAAACAGCAGAAAGAAGAGCTGGCTACAGGGGTAACACAACAGCACTCTCACTCACATTAACTCTACAATTTCTTGTTTTCCCCTACACGACTGAGGCATAATACAAAATGTGTGCCGCTACGTCAAGCACAATATATTGATTAACAGATTTAGATGTGAATCAAAGACACTTTGTATTTCTTGATCCTGATTTTCTGGTGTGTTTGTGTGCAGACGGTGCGAGTGTTTTCCCTGAAGGGGATGACCAGTAAGCTGTTTGGCCATGAGAGCCCAGAGCAGAGGGAGAGCAGGCTGGCAGCCTTGGAGCAGAGTATCCAGGAGGGAGAGCAAACGCTGAAGGAGAAGAACACAGAGTGCCAGTGAGCTCAACACCCATCCCACAATTCTCAATTTGTTTTTCTTGAAAATTAGGTCTTTGAAATGTATCTGACTGGCTGACTTAGATGTCTGTCATGTAACTATCTTCACCATTTCAAAAATCAGTTAGTGGTCGATTTGTTATGCACACTTTTTGCACTTAATTTGGATAATGACTGATGACTTGATTCAACCGTTTAATTAAAATACACTCACAAATTACCACAACTTCAGGACAAAGAGGGTTGCAGCTGATTATCTATAAGAAGATTTGTTCAAAGTAGTGGATAGTGTAAGGATCAGCACCCCAAGATTTTTTTTAAACAACCTAGGCCAGTAATGAAAAAGAAGGAAAAAGCACATCAATAAATACAGAGCAATCCAACCACCACATTGTTTGTTGACATAATCCTTTGTCTTTCTATACTCCCCCCTGTGCCTCCTCTTCCACTAAATGACTCACAGCGGCATGTGTCTTTGTTTGTGATTGTGATTTCAGAGAGTTTGTGCGAGCTGCCTGGGAAGACATCGAGCGCTTCAAGGAGCAGAAGGACAATGATTTGCGGGAAGCTCTAATCAGCTATGCCATTATGCAGATCAGCATGTGTAAGAAGGTATGGGTCCTGTATTGTTTGCTTTTCTATACTGTCATGCTTAAGAATGCCAGGCTTTTTTGTGAAGTTTGTTCATTAAATTCATTCTTCTGCACTGTAGCTCCCCATCTGTTTTACAGAAAATGGTCTTGTTTGTGCTCTCTCCTTCACTCTCTCAATCTTCACTGTCTCAGGGAATCCAGGTGTGGTCCAATGCCAAGGAGTGTTTCAACAAAATGTGAGCCACTTCGCAGCCAATCACTCTCCTGCACCAAAGCAATAGTCAGACAGATTGTTCAGAGTGGGACCTGTAGTCTTATGGAGAAATTCTGACTTCATTTCCTTTTGCTACACAGATTTGAAGCCACTTGACAGGACTCTATCACATTTTCTCTCTCGCAACATGCGCGCGCACACACACACACACACACACACACACACACACACAATTCACACAAACGTTTCCAAACCTTTAAGATCCCTGTGTGGTATTCAGATACGATTCTGCGCAAAATTCACAATGCAGATGATTCAAATGAACAAATGTCCATCTTTTGCTGCAAATCTGGCAGCATGTCCAAGAGGAAAATCCTAATGTGTGATAACTACCCAGTAGGAATAGCTGTGTAGTTTATTTCAGTTCTTATACTTAAAGGTCTTATCTCTTAAAAAGGAAGGTGATGGAGTGAGAGCTAGTGGTTCATATAAAACTGCAACAATTAGAAGTCTGAGTTCAAACATTTTGAAAGAAGGCCGGATTAAGAACTTTTTTTTTTGTACATCAGTGACCATCATTCAGCCTGTTTGGTCTAATTTTACACTTTAAAACACAATGTATTGTCAACTACACTCAAAACAATTATCTTAGACTTTGATGATGAGTCACCGACTGTATATTTAGGTCTGTTGAATTTCTAATTGACTCTTTGGAAGAGACTCTGTAATCTGTATCCCCAGACCTCCTACATGTAGCAGAACTGAACAGTGAAACATAAGGGAATCATTGTGAGGATTGTTGCTGTACTCTTCTACCACTACTTTCTCTCAGGCACAAATAAGATCAGGGATGCTGTAGCTAAATTTAACATGAAAAGTTGACAACAATTCTTAATTCACTACCTTCCTGTCTTTGGGAATGTTATCTGATAAAAATGTCAGCTAATGAATCAGACCAAAATAATCAGAGAGAAGTGCAGGGCAACATGGGCAACACTTAAGGAAGTCCCTTTATAGTTACAGCAGGTTTCCTTTTCTTGAATAAGATGTTCTACACTTCATGCTGAAGTCAGTCTTTATGCTGCTATTAATCAATAGCCGACCAAAGAGCCTTCAACCTGGTACTTGTACGCTGTGTATTTCAGGAGGAGACAAAAGGAGAAGGGAAGTTAAAGATGTGGATCTTTTTGTTTTGTGCTAAAAGCATAGAGTCAAAAGTCATAAAGGCTTTGCACAGTTTCAGTTACAGTAAAGCCTTTTTTAAATATCTTGTCCTCCTTAATGAAGGCCAGAATCATGGTGCCCGCACACGCTGCCTGATGTACAACGTGCACCAAACATGAAAATCAAGAGTCTTTTCTTTGACTGCCAGAGCCTCTAGCCTTAAGAAGAACATTGGTTTTGCACAAAAGGGTAGAGGTTAGATTGTGAAGACCAAAACGTTCTTTCAGCCTCTTTCTTTATCACCAAATTATATAATCAGCCTTAGTTCCAAGAATGCCTCGGGTTACTTTTTTATGAAAAATAACGACCAAATTTGTGAACATTTTTAACTATGTTTGTTTCATCCTTAAGATCTGGCTCACGAGATCTGCTCTACATTTAAAATCTGCCACTATTGCTTTGTTTTCTGATCTTCGTGTTAGGAGGACAAATGGGTGTAAAAATCAATGCGACATGTAAGTGAAAATAATAACCAATCTAATGAAATGATCCCAAATTAAAGCTTTGCTGTACGTTTTTATTATAAATAAGCAACAAGAAATGAGATTGTTTTTTTATGTAATCATTGTGCTAAGACACTAATAAAAATATTTCTTTTTGTAACTGTGTGCATTGCATTTCTATAACCAATAACATGCAGAGGAGTCTCAGACTATACTGAACATCAGGAACATGTGGTGCTGCACTGAGACAGACTGCTTGATGACTCATTTTTATATAGGAGTAGTTTCCTGGTATTTTGTTTCTCTTTGTAGTGAGAGGATGAAAAGGAACTGGCTTTAAATAAGCACTTATTAAATGTCAGGCTGCCGTAAATCAGCTGTGTCAAAGTAATACACTGCCTAACCCGCATGCATGGCTTGTTTATTTCCATGACACCTGTGGTGACGGTGGATGGAAATCAGGTGGGCTTATCTGTGTTTGCAGTCATGAGATGATGTTGTCTCGGTGGCTGTCAAGCGTTTTAATCCCTTTCCTTTTAAAGAAAAACAGGAAACGGTGAAACCATTATTTAAAGGCTTCTTCATTTGCGGATCCATCAAATGTTCATTTTAGCATTTATAATAAATCATACATGTATGTGTTTTTGAAAATAAACGAAGTCATTCTCTAAAAAAATATCAAAAAAAGAATTAAACACAGTAAAGCGGGTGAGTTGTCGTAAATATACCCCAGTATCCCACCAGAGACAAACAGCGTTTATTAGTTTTTAATTATGACATTTATTTTAGAAACAGCGCCACCTGCCGGTTAGCAGGTGACATTTCCAAATTGGCACCGAAGCGGCTTTACCAAAGTGGTCTGGAGAAGAAGAGGAGCCTGAACGGAAAATCACATGTTCTCTTTTCAGGTCCGTGGACTGGCTGGTTTGTATGAGGCCATGTGTGGTTTTCTCAAATGGAAACCTAACATTAATTTAACATTAAAATCAAACCTAAGCCTTAGTTTTCCCTAATTCAGCAAGAGTAGTTTCCTCACAAACTGGATAGTGGATTGAATCCAAGTAAATCACAGGCTTATTAGGCCGTATAAAGCAGTTAAGCCTACCCACATTTAGGGAAAAGGTATAATTTAGAATGGAAAAGACACACGGCTTAAGAATGACACGGGATATCATTTTCAGAAAGTGTGCCTTTCAAGCCCCCTTTGCATCTCAACATATAGTACTGAACAAGATCATAAAGATGGGGAAACATTCTGATAATGGTGGTCACATCCCCACTAAACGTGGACACACTTTTCTCATTTTATTTTAAAGAAACCGTTGCTCTCCGTTTCTTCAGTGATGACGACTTTCATGGAAACATAAGGAGTTTAAGGGTTGACTAATTAAGCTGTTTCTGGGGCTAAAAAAAAAACCCGAGTCTGATGATTGTTGGTATTAGTCATCAAACCTGAATGATAAAACATTGCTTATTAGTAAGGAAAGTAATGCCTCCACAGTCCTGATGTCTGCCTGCCTGCCTTCCTGCCTGCCAGTATTTGGTAAAAGGGCCCCGCCCACCTTAATAAAGACTGGACCTCTCTCTTCCAATCCAGACAAAAGGAAGGGCATCGGATCCACGGCGGCGCGCACTCAGCCGAGCATCTGAGCACCTTGGAGACGCAACCGGGCTTTGATACGACGCACAAGAACGCACCGGCACACCGACGCACGCGCCCTCCCAGATCCACCTGAAACCTCCAGGTCTGCTTAATTGTCCTGTTTGAAAGCCGAGGAAAGGCACTGTGATCCCCGGGTTCAGTAGCAGCCAGAACACCGTGTTCCCATGATGTCATACCTGTGGATTCTGCTATTAGGAAGCCTGCTGGCCGCGAGCGCCAAGGCACAAGGTAATGATTTATTCTCCAATTAATTCAGCCCAGTCCGCAGTTTTTTTTTTTTACAGACGGTTTTCCTCTTTGCGTGAACAGCAAATCTATCTATCTATCTATCTATCTATCTATCTATCTATCTATATATCTATATATCTATCTATCTATCTATCTATCTATCTATCTATCTATCTATCTGTCTGTCTGTGTCTATTTGTCTGTCTGTCTGTCTGACTATCTGTTGTCTGTATCCTTCATTTTTTTCTCCATAGATATCCCTCTTGCTCTCACCTATCTTCCTCTCCCTCTCATTTTTCTCTCCTCTCCCTCTGCCATTCTCCCCCCACATTACTCACCCGTACATGTTTGTGTCTGTGTGTGAGTGTAAATGCCAGTCAGTCTGTCTGCCTCCCTGTCGGCATGTCAATCTCCCTCACCTTTTAGCTATAGTCTGTTCTTCATCTAGCCTGTGTCTCTTCTGACTAAACGGATTAAAACAACTCGTCATTCATGCTGGCGACTGTTCACGCATCTGCAGCCCAGACATCAGGGTTTTAAAACATGTGTGTCATGTAATGTGGCCGTACCTTTTTGGTTATGAGTTTTGGCCAACAAAGGGTGTGGTGAACCCTTTGTTCTCATATAAGTAAATTTCCCTCCTTTTTTTTCTCTCTCTTACTTTCCTTTTCCCTCGCCTTTTAATCTGTCTTATTTGATCCCTTCTGCCTTCTTCAACTCCAGTCTGATTTCTTCTTTACATCTTCATGCTTCATTATCTGCTATACTCTTCTTTTCCCGTCTTCTTCCACAGCTGGCCCATGGGCCCCTGCCCTTCCCTGCGGCTCATGCAATGATTTCACATTGTTAGAACGAGCAATAAAACTCAGTTATAAAGAAGGGGAGGATTGAGATGCACACATGCACGAGGGAAGTAGAGGAGATGTTGGATAAAGATAATAGATAAGTGCAGCCCAGGGAGAGACAGACATAGACTAAGATAGCCCAAGTAACAATCATCTGTATGCAAACAAACTTTCAGTTGAACGTTGGTGCATTGGTTAATCTCACTCTACTGGTTCACTTTGTATCACAAGATAAACGTAGGGAGGGGAAACACCCCTTTACACGCGCATGCACACACACACACAGGCACACATATGTCCGCTTTTTTTTTCTTTTTGTTCCCACACACACATTTCCTCCCTAATTGCTGAACTGTAGCTATGCTCCGAGCTCCAATGGATGCAGGAAATCTCGAAGTTTGCTTACTTGCAAGTATACACACTTAGTAGTACTTAGTAAGGCTGAAAAAAGATGGCGTGCTGGGGTCAGCTGCATGTGTGCAGATCGTGTATGATGTGTTTAAGTTATAGAAGTGAAGGATAGGGAGTGTCTCAGTAACTAGATCCAGCTCCAGCTGTAGACAACACCCAACAAACTCAACTAGTTTCAGCTCTTTACTCTCCCCCTGGGCCCTCAGCATCTGTGTGTCGGTGTATGTGAGTGCGGGGGTGTGGGTACTAACTTTAATGTACAGAACATGTGGGAGTTCTTCATTAATGTAAAGTGTGTGTGCGTGTGTGTGTGTGTGTGTGTGTGTGTGTGTGTGTGTGTGTTACTAGCACATGAAAGCAAAAAGAGCTGTGTGATGTGTACCAGGTGTGTGAGCATAGACTTGTCTTTGTTTACACCTTCAACTCCCATCACATAAATCTCACTTGAAGTTGATAAGTGAAACTCACACACACACACACACACACACACACACACACACACACACACACACACACACACACACACACACACACACACACACACAGTCTCTCCACTCTGCTCCCATAGGGGCAGTTTTAAGGTGTCCATGATTTGAGTAAACACAGCACTTTCTGTCCTACAAACCAACAATAGAACCATACCTGGCAGAACAATGTGTTATGGAGGTGCTGTCGTATCACCTGACGAGCACACATAGACACACATACAAACAGAGTCTGGTTTAGTGTTACAGGGAAAGGCTTGGTGCACGCATGTACACGCATTGTGACTCATTCAATCAAAAAAAAAAAAAAACTGCCAATTTCTCTCACAGTCTCACGACAGGCAGCGAACAGGAGAGAACATTTCCTCTGCTTTTGACACTGATAGATCGGACTCAACTAATGTGATGTTTAAGGAGCGATATAAACTCAAGAGTGTAAAGTAAATTTACCACCCTGTGCTTTTGTGAATCTCTCAACAAAATGTCAATTTGACAGAAAGGAAAAAAAAAACTTCAATTTTAAAAAGAGAAGTTTTAGATGCCAAGATAAACAGATCACCTTTCGGTTATGAAAACAGCAGCACCTGCATTAAAGCACCAAACATCCAAGTGTGAGACATGATTTATGTATAAGTTCTATCTTTCTCTTCATGCTCAATTGACTGTTGTCATTAAAGCTTTCCAATGTGATGCAACAAGCTGAACGGGCTTACAAGTAACACAAAATGCTATTTTGTTAAAAAGAGTACAAACTTATAATTGATATATTTGCTGTAAATTTCTGTTAAGATTTATAATAAAGAGCACAGTCTTTACCTGCTCTGAAAAAAAGCAGACATATATTTTCTTGTGATTTGCTTCTTTTTGACATGACTCAACATGCACTTTATGTAATTTCAAAGTTATGCTTTCTTCAACATAGAGAGCAGGGAAATTGGTATTCATGATTATTATGATGATAACTTATCAGGAGTCTTTTCAAAGTTCAGGCAAAGAAAAATCATGAAGGAATATATTAAATATCAAAATGTATCCTGTACATTACCAGCCACTCTTCACCTTAAGTTACTATACACCCATGTTGCATTTAGCTTAGTCAGTAAAATTGTAGGAACATGTTCATCCATTATGCTCACAGACTTCTGCCCACACATACAGTTAGAAGAATGATTCACTTCAGAGCAAGGCATTTAGTTAATGATGTTATCAAGAAAATGCTTATTGGCCTCGTTGAGAGAGTTTCAGAAGAAGATTGATATCACTAATGCCTTTACATATGGAAATCCACGCAGCTGCTGATTAGTTTAGCTTAGCACAATGACTGAAAACAGTGGGCAAACATTTAGCGTTGCGTTGTCCAGCCAACAAAATCCATCCATCACCACCTCCAAAGCTCCTATGTTGGTTTTCATTACTTTAACTTCTATTTAGAACAAAGTGTAAAAAAAAAACAATTAGTGATTTTATATGGTGTTTTATGCTGGACTATATCTTGGCCCTGACCATTTACTCACTGGGATGCCAAGACTATACAGTAAGTTACTATACCTGGCCAAGGAAAAGGTAGTTTGGCACACACCCTGAAAAGCCTTAAATAAAACATAACATTTCAAATAGTGAGGTGCTAAAGTAGAGTTTACTACATTTGGGAAGAGCCAGATAAGCTGTTAGGTGCCCGCTGTCTTCAGTTAGTATGCTAAGCTAAGCTAAGCTAAGCTAAGCTAAGCTAGTGGTTTCCCCCTGTTTCAGTCTGTTTGCTAAATTAAGTTTATTCCCGTTTGTACCCTGCATGCTAAGCTTATAAAGCTGTTTCACTGCTTTTTAGTTTGTCTGACAAGCTAGTGGTTTCTCCATGTTTTCACCTTGTATGCTAAGCAAAAAAAGTGGTTCACTCCTTTTTTAGCGTATATGCTAAGCTAAGCTGTTTCTTTCTTCCTGTTTTCACTTTGCTAAGAGCTAAGCAGGAGCTAGTGGTATTAATATCCTCCTTGTACATAACTAAAAAATATGATATATATATGCATATATAAAACAAATAAATCTATTCATAAAATGTATTCATGTATAAGTAGTACCCTGTCTGTTTTGGCTTTGTGTGACAGTTCATGTCTACTATCAGATTAGTCTATTCATTTTACATTGATTAAAAACAGACATTTTAGTTTTCAGAGATAATAAACATTTATTTGATGGAGGTTGTTGTTCACTGTTTTATTCAAGTGGATTTCGATTAAAAAAAAAAAAAAAATGTAAGTTTGGCCCCACACCCTTTTCAATAAACATGAGAGAAGAATATTAGAAACATATTTAATTCAGTCCAGTTCAACAACAACTCTACAACAATAATAAAAATGGTTTCTTGGAAAGTTTGAACATAAACTGGCTATTAGAGGCTCTATAAAGTAAGAATATGTTATAGCTTTAGATTGTATAGGTGTAACTAATAAAGTGGTCAGGGAGCGTGTTTATCTATTAAACTATCACCACCAATACATGTTTTTTCTTTTAAAGAAAACAACTTAACTCAAAGTATGATGTTTTTTTTCCAAATGTGCCAACTGGTTTAACTTAAGGGTTTTCCTTTGGGGACCTTTTTTTACAGATTAACTCTGCACATGCTGTACAGTCCCATACAATCGCGTGCGGCTGTGTCAGAGACACACAGATGACTCACCAGCCTCCAGGGAGGACAGTGGCAAAGAAACAAAGGGAGTAAAGAGTTTTGGGAGAGAAGGAAGGGAGAAGAAAGGGGGGAGGCAATCTCAAAGACAAGAAAGAGAGAGAGAGAAGAGAGAGAGAGAGAGCGAGAGAGGCTTGGATGTGCAACAAATTGTTTCACTACCGCCCTAACACAAAACAGGACACAGCTTACTTAATATGTGAGAGTGAGTGTGCACACAAACTTTACGTGCGTGTGAACATGTGGTTGTTTGTAAGTTTGCACTGAAGAGGGGAGGAGAAGGTGCTTTTACAAGGCTGTACACATACATGCGTGTGTGTTAAGTGTGTGTGTTGGTGGGTGTGTATGCTGGGGGGGGGGTTTATGGGAGTGTAGTGGAGGTAGTTAGAACAGGAAGTGGCAAACTGATAGATGGGAACAGAATGTTCTTCAGAGTGGCAAGAGAAAGAGAGGGAGAGTATGGTGGGCCTTGTACCTTTCTCTCACTTTGTCACACACACACACATAGGAGTTACATGAGAGCCACATACCTTGACACGTGTATGTAAGGACAATGCCATGTGGAAACGTGCCCCCACATATACTGGAAAGGAGAACATAACCTAAATGCATGTACACATACTTAATCATACACTCAAATATCAATAAAAGTTCCATCTTCAAACATTAACTTTTTTTTTTAGCCCTATATCTGTCTACAGGCTATATGATTTAATCACCTCCTTGATGCACTTTGATTTGGAAAAGTGCTCTGTAAATAAAGGTTAAATAGCGTTAAGATGCACCGATTGTAGTCTTTATGTTTACTTGTGCTGTACAATTGCAAGTAATCCTAATCTTTGCATCTTGTCTCTGAATGTTGGTACACTCAGTTAAATACTGTTTTCAAGGAAGTCTGTTGAAACACAAACACCCACTCACACACAAGCACACCTGCTCATACATGTATTCACACATGCAGCCCTGCTGAATATCAAGCCCTGAGTGCTGTTTAATACAGTGACATACTACTGGAAAAAACTCAGAACAAAGAGGGCTTGTTTTTATTTTTTTTTCCCCATGTCATGTGAACGAGTGCATGTGGCGTGTCTTTAGCCATTTCCTGTGGGCACTCACTTGTGTGTGTGTATGTTTTTATTTTCTTTATATATGGCATAGATTTATGTGTGTGTGTGTGTTTGTGCGCGTTATGAAAGCCAGGTTGTCACCGGTGCTTTGCTCACCTCCAGAGAATTCACTGTGTGATGGAAATATTTTGAGATGTGTTCATGCTGCTCTCCCTCCTGGCTTCACTGACTCTGATACCATCTCCCTTGGCAAATGCAGATATACTTCTTGGAAACATGATGGCGATGTGTAAAAAAGTTGATTATCTTCTTTGATCGTACTAAGGAAGAGAATGAGGAAACTAATAAGCAAAGGCTTTATTACTTGTTGATGTGTCATCACAATTCAACCTGTGTCACGGTCAATGAATTCAATCATATTTATATGTCACCAAATCACAACAAAAGTATATTCATGACACTTTGCATAGACTGTGCTCTTTGTTATAGTCATTACAGAGACCATACGTTAGTCCAAAAAAAGTTAAGCTGCTGGCAACAGTGGCAAAAAAAATATTTGTAAGAGGCAGAAACCTCCAGCAGAACTACTCATTTGTAGACAGCCATCTGCCTCGAATGGCTGTCCAAGTAAGGCAGAAAGAGATTCTAGTTTTATGGTTGCTTTATTACATGTCTTTGCCTTCCTGAAAATGTATTTTCTACTTTTTCAGTCCATCTTAGATACTATTTTGCTCACAGGAAGTACATCCGATCTCATACAGAAATGTCCCAGATGACTGTATTTCTTCTGTAGTTATGAAAGGACATGCTGCCCAGACGGACCAGCATCAGGGTGCTGCTGAACTCAGCAGAGCGAAGAACGATCAAGTTGGGGCACAGTTTGCTGTTTCAGCTTCTCGCATGCAAGGGGGGAATGTCACAGTGCTGATTCAAACACACGCCAACATTATGCTCATCACACACACACACACACACACACACACAAAATGACCAGGGGACACTTTGTGTTTTCTCATTAGCACACAGCTGCTATGCCATCGCTAAGGTCGAGACTGCGTATGATGTTCGGGCAGGTCGGACTTTATCAATGTGTCTGTCATCCAGTTGTGGCTCGAGCGTTAACATCAGGCGCCGATCAGAGCAGGGTGGGGCTCTGTGTGTGTGTGTGTGTGTGTGTGTGTGTGTGTGTGTGTGTGTGTGTGTGTGTGTGTGTGTGTGTGTGTGTGTGTGTGTGTGTGTGTGTGTGTGTGTGTGTGTGTGTGTGTGTGTGTGTGTGTGTCTTTGGAAATAGTCATGTTAGATAATGTGTTGAACCCACAACAGCTTAACGACAATTGTGACGGATGATTTGAATGCTTTTAAGTGATAACAGATGGATTTAGGCATGCAGTATTTAATTACCAATAATTACAGTAATTATTCTTATATCCTGTAGGGACTAATTAATTTGTAGTTTGTTCTTATTTGGAATGCAAAAAATTTTCAAAGATATTGAAAACTAAGGATGTTATGTTGTCAAGTTGCAGTCCCTCCATTTCAAACACTGACATTGATTTGGGTTGCTATGTCTGCCTCCTTTCTTCTCCTACAAAGGAAATCCAAGTTTCACAGACTTCTGTCAGTTGTTTGATGTTTATTGAAGCAGCACGTCACAGCCCTTTACTTTCTTCCCACTTAAAAAAAAATAAAAAATTGATATGTCACTGTAGAGTGTGCTCTTCTTTCATGATTCCTCTACGCTCTCTCTTCACACATCTCTGTTGTAGATGATGTAGCAACAACAGAGGAAGTCCCAGCCCCTGAAGCCTCCGAGGAACCGACCCCCGAAGCAGAGGCAGCAGCAGACGTTGCCAATGACGAGGAAACTGAACTCGTATCTGAGGTAAAAGAAATTGTGAATATTTTCTGTCGGTTTGTATTGGCCCATAGCAAGCAGCAAGTGCACATTTGATTCAAGTTCAATGAACAACACACAGATTATAATTATCTAATAGCTGTAGGTTATTCTACTAACTCTCTGTCGATGGGATTTGATTGTTTCATCAGTTGTTTGTCTTGGCTGAGTGGACAGAAGAAATACAAACAACAAGCTAAGCACCTAGCAACAAGTCAGCTACTTAAGCTACAGTTAGAGCAACCCTGATTCAAAACATTCTTTATAATGTCTTTCATTCAGGTTTTAGGTTTCATCAGAAAACACTGATTTCTGACATTTCGCAGGCTTTGACTAGTGTTTCACTCTTTGCAATCATTGGCTATCATGAAATGCATTATTGTCATATATGACACTGATGAGAATGAACTAGTCAGTTTCAGTGCTTATAAATGATGGTATTGGAGTAGTGCATTGATTTGCATACTCACAGATACTATATTATTGCAATACTGGTATCAGTCAGAATTATATATGGGTGAATAGTATTAGCTCAAATCTTCACTCCAAACTCAATCAAACTATACGTTTCTATATTTAGAAGCAAAAATGGAAGAATTGGACCCCCAGAAACTTTTAAGGCCCCTATCAGCTTAGAGCCACCAGTGTTTTTCAAGGTCACTGTGCCTTGTGTGACCTTCAACCATTAATTGATAAACTAAGACATCTTAAATAGACATCTTGATTGGGTATGGAGAGTTGTATTTAGCAGATTTGTAATTGTTTTTATTATCTGTATCTCTTCATACACTGTTCAGCTCCCAATGAGCAACTTCAGTTTTTTCTTCTGCAGTTAATATTTTTTTTTTCTTTTTGTCTGGCACCTGTATGCATTTTGTGCAGATGAATGCACTCTAGTTTTGTTCTCATTATTTGCTCTGCATCTCTGGCCTTTTATAACTGCCTCCCGAAGCTAAGCTCCAGTGTGCAAATCTTGTTTAACACGAAGAAAAGGCCAAACACCTCAGAGCTGTCCTCATGTGAACATCATTTCACAACATATGTCTCTTTGTGCTGAATACAGGAAGTGCATCCGACCAAAATTGAGCCTGAGCCCACTCCTGACACCGAAGCCATTGGTGAAATCGAGCCCACTGATGGACCTCATTCAGTGACAGAGGGAGACACCGACCCTGAAGCTGGGAATGCTGAACCAACTCCTGCAGATGAAGACACTGAGGCAGGGCATACTGCAGCAGCAGACACAGAGGAGGAAGCAACTACACAAGGTGGTTAATTCATTTGACATTGAAAATAATAGTACGATTGAAATAAATCATTTCCAGCAGTAATTGTTATACGGTACATTTTTTAATTTTTGTGTTCAGCCCCAAAAAAATCAACCAATGCAGCAAAGATTGACAATTCTGTTGTAGTATCAGAAAAGCGTCTCATTTTTAGTTTTCCCACGTCCGGTGCTTTTCTAAATTTCTAGCTGCACTCCCATTCAAGCAGGGCAAATATGATTCATCCTGAAAAGCAAAAGGGATGTCTTAAGGACAAACCTCGACAGTCAGTCTCATCTATCGATTCAGCATGAGGCTGAGTGCCAAAAGACGTTTGATCAATAAGGCCCTCTAAGTTCAGCTCCTTGAAATTTCCCTTTCAGGTGTAATTCTTTCCTTCACTTTGTCAATGTGCAAATGAGTGATCACTAATACCAGCCCCCCTCCCCCTTTTTTTTGGTGCACTCTCCTGTTTAGAGCCCGCAGCTGATCCAGAGCCTGCAGCTGATCCAGAGCCTGCAGCTGATCCAGAGCCTTCAGCTGATCCAGAGCCTGCAGCTGATCCAGAGCCTGCAGCTGATCCAGAGGCTGAACAACCAACAGAGAAAGACGACGACGAGCTGACTACCACAAGCGACGACACCACTCCCATTCCTGAGAAGGTCCGTGGCATGCCTCCAAACTTGCTCAGACAAACAAACCCTCCCATTCCAGTGAAATACAACCGCTAACATTTGTTTATAACACAGGCGTGATTCAGGAGCTGCTCTGCTAATGAGAACTGTATTTATTGTTTCCACAAGGTGGTACCAGCAGCAGATCCAGATGATGCAGGTCGTGAGGAAGAGCCAACTGAAGCAGCTGACAAAGACGACCAAACAGCCGTCCTCATCCCTGAAAGTGAGCATATATAGAATTTTGAGTGCATATTTCTCACACTATTGTACTTGTTTACAAGGAGGAAAAGAAGGAAACAAATGATGGGGAGGAATTCATAACATAACTTCTTGCTGAGGCATTTCTGAAAGAGCACGTACCTTGTCAGTGTGTGTGCAGGAACAGATAGATGAGTTGTAGAGAAAGTGAAACACATGTTCTCTGTACTGTAGATGAGCTCACCGCTGTGACATGCGTGTGTCCTTTACATGTGGAAACTGTACAAACTTGTTTGTAAAACTTCATGCTCTGCTGCTTTGCTCTGGCACATTCTGTCCAATTTTCAATGTCGTGGTGGGTTTTGGGTAGCAAAAGACTCCTTGCATTACAACAAACCTCCTGAAATGATTTCATATCTTAAAATAGATCAAATATACAGAGAAAGATAAACATATTCCTGCTTTTGGGAACATTTTTTTTTTTTTAAATAGCTGGGAAAACTCAAGATGGAGATTTACTTTTGACACAGCTGAACTTCGATACATTTTGATTGCTGAATGCTTCTGATTGGTTGTTTGATCTCTGTCTGAAACTTGTCATGGCCAGGACTCTCTTGAAAAAGAGCTCTTGTATCTCAACAGGAGTATTTTCCTGGTAGAATAAAGGTTACAGCTAAAGAGAGACTTTTGCTGCTTTTCATGTTGTTTGGAAGATCCCGCAGTGGCAGATGAGTGCAGCACTGCTGTTCATAAAAGTTTCTCTGTGTTGTCCATTCTCAGCATTTGGATACTTTTCATTAATCCATGATCTCGCTCTTTGTCTCTTATAACAGTTACACATGATGCCGCTGCACCTAAACAGAATGCAGGTAAAATTGCCTTATTTTTCCTCCTTTTAATTCGTTTGCTTCCTCTCGGTAATTTGAGCAAAAGACTCGCCCACATGACTTAAACCTCGACCTTCACCACAACCGGGAGGTCTTTGCTAAAGAGGCTCCGCAAATCGTTGCTTATAACTATGACTCAGAAGTTATTTTCTTCATACTAAAGCTCCTCAGGGTTAAAACCATTATTTTTTTCAGTTACTATGGTAACTCTGAATCAACAGAGACGCTGACTTGTTTAAGTGATGCTTTGAAGAGGTTGGTAATGTTCATTTCAACAAAGCAGCATTATATAACCTTAAATAAAAAAACAACGCAGTGTGCTCTTGAAAATAACTAAACTGTCTGAGTTGTTTAAAGAGCTTGTCTGAAACCTTGCTCTGAATACAGCTGCTGAGTGTTTTACTTGAACTCAGAACCTTTTGTTATATCTCAATATATATTAGAACTCCATTGGGATATTTTTTTTCGACCCCAGGAGTGCCCCTGAAATGATTGATGTATTATCAGCCTTTTAAGATAATGCACATGTCCTGCTTTTAGATGATGTATCATTTTCTGCAACTCCCTAATATCTGAACAAATAATGAAAAGCAGATGTGCTTCTCTTTTAAAAGCACAAGTCCCTCAGGACCATTCTAAGGTGGGATTCTGGCGCGTCTCGTAGTATTACCTCATAAGTTAGGACCCACATTTTCTAAATATGTATTTATCAGGATTAAAAGCACATTTTCTCAAACCTACATTTACTCTTTAATCTCATCCTTTATGCTGATTTATTGATGTTGTTTAAATTAAATTGGGGGTATAGCAAGACATCCTCTTTACTGTTACTCAGGGTTTTAATTGAGTGTTAAGGAAAAGGAGGCTCTAAAAGGTTACTCTTATGTGAAAAACTAACTGCGGTTTGTTCTCTGGTAAAAAGTGCAAGAGAGGTGAGAAATGGAAAGGGATGAAATTGGGGACAAAGAAGAGGAAAAGTGAGGTGCAGGATAAAATGAAAGCGATAAAGAGAGCAGAAAATGAAAAATGAAAAGGAGAAGAGGTTAACTGAAGAACTGAAGACGTCAAGTAAATGAAGAAAGAGGCACATGAAATAAATGACGCAGGAGAATAAGAGTGTCTGGAGTGAATTTTGGCTCTGAATTTAGTTTCATTCATTATCGCTCATACATAATCTTATCTGTCTAATGGCGCCTTACAGTGTGAACAAAAACACTAACTCATTCTGATTTAGTGTCAGGACGTTATATGTAAAAAGGTCCCTGGGTAATTGCAACCTCTGAGGTTCAATCAGATGTAAAAATCATTCAGCGATGCTGCCTCGCCCCGCCCAGCCTCAAACTGTTGTGTGCTCTGACTCACACATGTTGTAGAATGTCACTCGGGGTTTTCCCCTAATGAATGTAGATTCAGGGGAAGGTATTGTTCAGGACAGAGGATATCCTTTAATCTAAGTCCGCTCTGGTTCTCAGGATCTCTGTCACACACCCTCAGAGCAGGTAGTGTTGCAGGGTCCTTATCGGGGACGCCTCTGAAGGGCTTTCACTCAGGGACATGAGGGACTGAAGTGGGGCGTGCTTCTACCATGGCAGAGATTATCATCATATTTAAAAAGTTTGGGACGGTGTGTTTGACATGTTTGAGCTGAACATCTGGAAGATATCCCTCTTGGGCGGGGCCGTGAGAAGTACATTTTGCTGCAGGGATGGATATCGTATTTCTGTCACCAATGGTATCTTATTGTTTTCTCAGATTCAGGATTCAACTTGGAAGATGCTCTGCCAGAGGGTCCTGCCGTGGAAAACCCAGCTAAGCCCGGAAAGAGCCGCAGTCTGGACCCTGGGCGTAAGTATTTCACTTTAACAATCACCACTCAGTTTATTATTGTAACCAATTACCTTCAATTTTTAAGGTATAATGTGAGGCACTGGTAAGATGACAGTGCCTTCCCTTACAGGTTGAATACATGCTGTTGGTTATCCTAGACACAACTACATGTAAACAGGAAATGGGTACAACACGTAATATAATCGAATTAATATGTAAGTGCTAACATAAGTGTCTTTAAGGAATCAGTCAAATACAAAAACAAAATTGAAAGGAATAAAGATGTATTTTCCATCCTGTGTGAAGTGCTAATATGGATGTGTTAATGAGTGTGAGTGGCCCCCAGCGTCCGATATGCAAAAACCCTCTCGAGGTCAGCTGTTTTTGTCACTGCGCTCTCAATTGAAAATCGTTCGAATTTTGGGACAGTGCTGCCCATGTCAGTGTCACTTCTCCCTCACAGGCCAATCAAAATCAAGAAGCGGGATAACTTCCAAAGGGGCGGGACTTTTGATACTAACTTTTTCAACAACAGTAGAGGAAGGGAAACTAATCCTTTACCTTGCAGTGTTTATCTCATTCACGAGACTATTTGCTTATGCCAGGACAAGATTCCTTTCCATTGCTTTTACATTTTGGTTGTTTAAAAATGTCCTTCAACAAAAGCAAATGTTGAGCATGCAGAGCAGTTTCTACCAAGGGAGGCCGCAGTACGCTGGGTAAAAGCGCACTGAAATTGAGCTCATGTGCGCTACCAGTGCAAAAAATGTTGGCCGTGGACACAGACCCTTATTTGTACATGTCCTGCTTTTATGATTGTCCTCTCTTCTGTTCTGGCCTCAAATCGTACAATTTAGTATTAAAACTTTGTAAACAACAATGACATGGAACAATGACGCAGCTGTCTTTATGTAGCCAACTTTTTGTCTTATCACAACCGTAACATTTCACTTTTACCAAAACTGTTTGTTGCACAAGACCCCTCTGCTACTGCAAGAATGCAGATCTTACTCAGGAGCTGTAATCCCATGGCAAGACAACAAATTCCCCCATCGTTTTTGAAGAAAGTGTATTCACCAGCCACAAAAACAGTTTGACAGCAACGCTTTAAAAGCAGCTTTTCTTTCAGCGCTATCGCTTTTATTCCCCGTGTGATGAAGGTCACTATAATCATTATAATCTGGTGTAAACCGCTCCTCTTTAGTGCTTTGTGATTAGCGCCTTTTGTCAAGTTGAAGCAGGTAGAAATGATGTCACGGGCGTATACAGACAAGCAGAATGAGATAATAAGGGGCTGTTTGCGTATCGATCGAGAGACATAGAGGATAAGTGTCTGCATCCTTATTTTTAGTAAAAACATTTTGTGTAAAAAAACTGTCAAAGTGGGACAATTCATTCACTGTTATGTGTTCTAATGCAGAGACTGGTTACAGAAACTCTAAACCTGTAAAGCCTCAGAGGTAGAAAGTAGCACAAAGAAAGTAATCTTCCTCTTCTCTGTCCTTTTTGTCAAAGTGTTTTACATGCACCATTAACCCATTAAAACTTGAACCAGTAACTCCTCCTTTAATCACGTCTCTCTTTCTTTCTCTCTTTTAGCAAAATCTGCTGGCGCCACAGGAGATGGTAAGGCTTTTTTTCTTGTGTGTGTTTATGCTCACTTAGTGGATAAAAACAAGAAACATGTTCACATAACACCATCTGTAGTCCAAATCACACAAATCCCAGTCAGATGCAGTTGTAGCTTTGCAGACGCATCAGCAGCTGTATAGGTTTCATAAAGCTCTGAAACACACCGGATATTACTGGCATGCCCCTGACAATAAAAAAACAGGATACATTAGTAAACAGGAAATGCTCTTCCCTATTGTGTATGTTCAAATGATGTTTAAAAATGACCTTTTTTAGGAGAAGTTTATGATGAATTCTCATGCACCGTGTCGTCACGCTGCATCTGTTGGAAGCTCTTAAAGCTCCTCCACAGAACAGGAAACTTCCCCGCTCCTGGTTCTTAAGCTGCGGGAATCAGATACAGCAGAGAGACAGGTGCATGTCCTTGCCTGTTTAGATAAACGTTTCCATGTGTCGCATTAAATATGCAGCTCCCATAGTTTCAATAGTCAAATCACATGTCAGTCTCCCACAGCCATTCCACAGATGTTTCCTCTTTTACTGCAAGGCACGACTGTTAAACCAGTTTGTGCGTCATTCACTTTCATCTTACTAACTGTACTTGTGTGTCCTCTGTTCTTTACAGCAGACAAACCTGATGCCCAAGGTGAGTTCCCCTTCCTGTTTTTTTTTTTGTTCTGTTTTGGACACATAAAGCCACCTTCCTATGCACTACTCCGAGCGCACTCCCCTATTTTGTCGTTTCATGCAAAGCGACAGGTGTGTTGCTTCTGCTGCTGCTGCTGCATGACATTTTCCTTCCTCTTTTTTTTTTCACGCTTTGAGATTCTAGAAGTATCCTTGGATAGTATTAAAAAAAAAAAGTTCAAAAGAAGGACAAGCACATGATTTTACCTTTAAGGTAAAGAAGTGGTTGGTGGACATCCAACCACTTCAATGATTAAAACAATCCACCAGTTTTCAAATGAGTTATCGAATATTTGGTGGAAGGCTTGTTGAAAAACGAGCTTAAACATGTTCTTCTCACTTTCTGCATTTTGAGGTTTTATCCCTGCACCTTTTTTTGTTTTAAAAGTCAAAGTTCAGTATGTTTATTTGATTTTACAGACGCTATAAGGGAGGACAGGAAGTCCCCTATAGATCTTGATATTTAGACAGACTATTGTTGCAGACTTTCCCCCCCGACCTCTGACCTCAGCCGTGTAGCAAACAGTCAGGTGATAGGGGTTGTGGCTGCTGACCACAAACAGCTCCCATGGTTTCTGTTTCCACTCTTCCATAGTGATACTTTTCTGTCAGTTTAGTTGAGACCAGACAAACTGGTGTTTCCCTGTTGGCTTGCTTTGCAGATTCACGTTCATACCTGTCTGCACTTACCTGCACTTCCTTTAACTGACTCGTGACACACTCCGGTTTTTATTCCAATAAATTTCATTGACTCACAGCCTAACAGGTCATTTATCCTGAATCACCCTCTGTACTCAAGTACTCTGACTCACGGCGCTCCCTTGTGTTTTTAACTGTTTCTTCTTTTGTTTACCGCTGGATTTGTTGTACTCTCTGGATTTCTCTTATGTAGTTTCATTGCTGACTCATCCCCTCTCCGTGCCATCTCCCTCTCTTTCTCTATAATCACTTCAGCATATCCTGCCTTTATTACTTTGTGATGACTGACGCCACAGACGGGACAATAAAGGTTTTTTTTTTTTTCACAAGACGTGTAACTTAGAACAATGAGTGTCAACAAAACCTTACGACAGTCTTGCATTTTAAAAATCCAGTCTGACTGTTTTTGTCTTTTATTTATCTTATAGTTTAGCTAGCAACGTTTGCTTTGTGATCTTTTAATAAAAAGGAAGTTCAGGGTGCTTTGATATCAGGATACAGCCAACTAATAATCCCATCATTTAGCCACCATTGATGCACCTACCTCATTCTTGAATAATGTAAAGTATGAAGGGATACACATTGTTGAAGTCTCTGATGCACGTGTGATTTGGTGTTTAAGTGTTTATCTGATCAGTGAAAAGAAAAGTAGAAATTCCAGCTACATATGTTACGTATAGTTTACTCTAGTCCCTGAACTGTGAATATGGTAAACTAGCACAAAATCACAAAATTACTGACAAAGTAATGAATTTGATACTTGCACAAGTAATATCACTTTGTAGAACATTAAACACGAGCATGCGCTAATATACTTTCATTATTTTATCTATGTTCATCGCTGTAATCCTGGTTTTGTACGCCGACTTGTGCTTCTGTTTTCTAAGCCTTTAATAGTCGACGGGAGGTATTTACTGTCTGATATGACACAGCATGAAAACTATTCAGATCCACGTTGTCATGGCAACAGGCTCACAGGTGCAGACAGAGGCTTGATGACAGGAAGGAGATCAGAAAATGCCTTAACAAGATGATGCATATCTGGCTCTCCATTTCTCCTCCTCTCTCCCCCACCACCCCCGTCATTCACATACACACACGAACACACTCATTATGTCATGTCATTGAGCCTTGCTGCTGAGCTGCCATTCATTATTTCAACTGCAAAATGGCACCCAGTGGTGTTACTGAACATTACAGTCTCATTAGGTAGGTGTAACACTGACAAATATCCCACACAGCAAAGTCCCATTTGTATGATAAATCAATAACATGTCCGGATAACAAATGGTAATTGAAATGGTACTGACAGAATGGAGCGGGGTTTAGCAGCTCTGATGCACAGGTTTTTTAATGATCCGTTTTGTGTGTTTGCTCTCCACAGAGGGCGGCTCCAGCTCTTTAGCAGGCATCCTGTGTGCTGTCGTAGTTGCCGCAGTCGGAGCAGCTGCCGGTTACATGGCCTATCGGAAGAAGAAACTGTGCTTTAACAACAGACAGGGTAAGTATCCTGCTGACTTGAACTCATCATAATATCTCATTTACATAAACTCTTATACACAGGGCTCCATATTAGCTGGAGCGTTTCTAGAGAGTAGCTTGGGGTGGCGTGCCCCCCCCCCCCCCATGAAATCTGATAGACCACCAAAGTTTCCATCCCATAAGACATGACTGGCTGTCGGCCCAGAGGTGGCCTTTATGTTCCAATCACCTTTTGGGGCGGGGTAGCAACAGGCTGATAGTAGCTATTATGGCACTTCAATGAAGCACATTGTTTTCCTCAATAAATCTTGTCAGTTACTTCCTTAATTCCTTAAAGAAATAATCATAGGAGATGTGTATGTTGTCACTCTTTTTTTGTTATTTTTTAGATTATTTGCAGGAATATAACATCAGTAGAAAACCTTGATAAAAGTAGTTGAAGTTCCTGTGAGGATCTGTGATAAATGTAGATTTGGGACACCCTGTGGACAAAGTTGTATTTCTTTGCTGATCTTGTCCTGTACACGTGGAAGTATTCCACGTGTACAGTCCTTCAACAGTCAAAGGTATCACTCCCCGTCAATCTTGCAATCTATGAAAAAAACAATTGTTTTGACTGAAGTCTGACACCTACCTAGAGGCAGTGCTCACATGTGTTAAAATGTACTACACAGAAAAAGTCAGTCTGTGGGCTGATTGTGTTGTTTGCTCATATAGAGGCATTACTATTCATTTCAGTCTGTTCCATAACAAGTTAAAAACTGCTCACAGGAGCTTTAAAGATCAAATGATAAGATGAGACGGAACTTTTTCAGAAATTGCTATTTGGACATGTGGGAGCACATATACTGTCTCCCATCCCTGTTAGAAGTCTGGACATGCCCCTTGATGTATGACTGAAATTCAGCTTATTTCATGACCTTTTGACCTTTGTGGGTTTTTTTTTTATAAACCCTGCAAGCAAAGTTGTTTTTCCTGTTTATATGGTTGCCCATATTACAAGAGCATCAATAACTTCACAACATCAAGCCTGTGAAGTAGTTTGGTCCTAAATCAGAAGTTCACATCCTTAAATAGTCAATGCCAGAATGCAGGAGAGCATAATGACAGTGCATAATGTTTATTTGGATCATGCAGAGTCTAAAACATAAAGCAACTACCACCATTTTTTGGTAACACTTGTAAAAATAATATTAATGACTTTATTTAAATAGCACCTTTAAAAACTCTTTACAAAGTGCTTTGACATACAAGAAAAAGCAACATTAGTTATTTATTTTTTGCTTAGTATTGGAGGTCAGCAGTCTTTCTTAGAGCCTTAACAAACTCAGCTTTATCCTTTAGAAAATGATGCCAGATACAGTCATGTCAAACACACACACACACACACACACACACACACACACCTACCAATACTACCGATTCAGCACATTTAACATTTACAGTCAACATCAACAAAAGGCCACTCAGCTTAAGCAGTGTCGGGTAAACTTCAGTTTCTGCTCACACTTTATACTGTGAATATCCGTAGTAATGGCTAGGTTTTACGAATGATAAATTCATCAGTTTTACTCTTGGAAATGGATTTATCTTATCCCCCTGCAACATCGCTAAGACAGCCCTATCAGTATTCATGAATATGAATGAGTTAAAGGCAATTAAAATCGGCTCGACAGCCTCACACTGCTCCATTGAAAATGAACGGGAGGGCTTGACTGCTTTGAAACAAGTCCTTTTAAAGGTTAGGCACCACATTTTCATGGTGGTGATAATGAGCAATTAGAGCTGAGAAGTGTTCGCTTTATCAGTAAATCCCCCAGGGTGCTATCACTGTCGAACGTAATGATGTCACACTTCTAATTCATGCTCAGTTAATTTAATGCATGTGTAATCCAAACTGACATGTCTGCCCATTTTTCTCTTTTTTTTTGCTTTTTTCGCATCTGTGTGACTTTGTGGGTCTGCGTGATCAGAAGCAGATCCGGAAGCTGCACGTAAAGCTAATGCAGCAGAGGCCCAGTCCGATCCCCAGGGTAAGACACTTTTTACACACATAAACACACTAAATGCATTTCTTTCTCACAATCAAACATATTCAGTCCGTTGCACTGTGCTGACCTTTGCATTGTATTTATTCTCCTTCCTGCAGTCCTTAGCAACCTGCTGAACTCCTCCTAGACCAGCGACATCACAAAACCGCCTGGAACAACTACCGGCAAGCAGAGTGGCAACTCACTGTTCAGCTCTATTATGTGTGGAGCTAAATTACTGTGAGGCCCCACAGTAGGGCAGTGTGTGTGTGTGTGTGTGTGTGTGTGTGTGTGTGTGTGTGTGTGTGTGTGTGTGTGTGTGTGTGTGTGTGTGTGTGTGTGTGTGTGTGTGTGTGTGTGTGTGTGTGTGTGTGTGTGTGTGTGTGTGTGTGTGTGTCTGTTTTTAATGTGTGTGCATGTGTGTCTGAATGAGTGTGTGCGTGTCCGTGTGTGTGAACAAGCATTTGTGTGTTCATTCTTGTGTGTTTGGGTATATGGTAGGGGGGGAGCGAGTAAGAGAGTGGGTAAAGTAAGTAGAAATATGTGAACCTTAGGGATGTTGTGATTGTTAAAACATAGGAATTTATTAAAAGAATTGGTCAACTCTCTACTTTAAACAGACAGGACACTATGAGATTCAATCTCAAATGTAGTATGACCATAAGATGGCTCAATTATGGAACTACTTTTTTTCATATGGCTACTACAGAGCTCTAGTAATTAATATAAACCAGTGACCAAAACTTTATACTCCATAATCGGTGACTTTTTTTCTGCTTATACCGTCATAATTTGAGCCATCCATGTGATCAAACAAAGAAAAAATCCTGGAAACGAGTCACTTAAAATGAAACATATGTCAAACATATTGTCTTATTCATAGTAACTGTCTGCAGCACAAACGCAGGGTAAATGGATAACAGGGGGCTTTTAATAACTACCACTGTATCTCCTGGATCCTTGGGGGAAAAAAATAAGAAAAAAGAATTATAATCCAAGGATTATGGTGATGCAGTTACATGGTCCAATGTGTTTTTAGTGGGCCACAGATGTCACTGTATGTGTGCTTGTTTTTGTGTGTGTGTCCTTTTTTAATTGGTGAAGGGGCTTAGTTTTTTTATCCTGTTTGACGATCAACACTTCTCAGTCAGTTTAGTTGAGACGGGGGGGGGGGGGGGCATTTGCAATAATTTACAACAACAACAAAAAACAATAAGGAAAAATCTGATATGTCATTGAAAATTGATTAAAATATTCACAAACGTTTATTTGATATATACTCTCCCTGTTGGGAAATAAGGAGAGAGAGAGACAACATCAAAATTCACTGAGTTGAAGTGAATTCCAGCCTTTTGTCGAGAGTCTACCTGACATTGACAAGCTCAAAAGAGATCGTGTAATAATGTACAAGACAATATTCTGATGTAGTCTGTGTGTCAGTCTAGTTGTGATGCAGTCATTTCTCCTCTCTAGTGCCTTTCACTGACACAGCCTGGCTTGAACAATCTACAGACACAGAGAGAGCTGGGGCGATGGAAGTGAAAAGAGGCAACATAGTAGATGAATGTAATTTAAATATATTAGCCAGAAAAAAACGGAGGAATGTATGATCTAAAATCCATTCATAAATGATCATGTTGGTTAGTGAGAAGCCTCACCTTGAAGTGCTCATGTATGTGAAACTGTTACATTCATGTGACAGCTGCTGTATATGTGTTCACAGTGAGCCAGCAGGCTGTTTTTATTTTTAGTACTTTTATATTTACCAATAACGCATTCCAAACTCCATTTATATCAGCGCTAAAAAAAAAAGAAGTCTCCTCGTTATGTGTCTCTTTCTTTGAGCAAGCCAGTTGCTGTCACAGTGGTTTTTGTATCATTCATATTTCCATCCTCCTGTGATTTTTTATAGGAATTTTACATTTTAGCAGTGGTGCCTCAGAGCTGACACAGATAGTCTCGAGTCCACTTGTTTGCTGTGGTATTTTGTGAATATTATTGTGAAATGCCTCAGAAGCAGCGCTACTGCATTTAGAAAAAAATAATACAAAAAAAAAAAGCCAGCCATTTTCCTTTTTTTTTCCTGCAGCTGTAGCACAAAAATATAAACTTCTGAATGTCTTTCTGTTGCCTTGCAGTTTTTTGTACTTGCTCTGCTCCCTTTAAACTTTCAAATAGGGTCATAGAGTTTCTGCGTCATGCTGCACTTCATGTAAAGTGTGTTACTTGTAAAGCATCATATAGCTGCAATACAGGACAGAGACTGTTGCAAACAGCCTTGCCTCAAGCTGAGAAATATTAATTATCCGTGATGATGTCACATATCAACTTAACCTACTGTATCAACTGTGGGCCTGGTCGCAGGATCTTAGCTCCGCCTTCTTATCCTGTAATCGGTGATAGACTGAGTTTCTCTCAACACATTGGGACCAAGTGGAAAGTGTGCCAGATTATCTCACTGCATCTGCAACAATAGCATGGAGTTATAATGCACAAGATACCCGTTAAATAAGAAGTACAAGCTTTCAGATAAAAAGCCGCTGATGCCTTCAAAAACCCACAATCCTTTAAAAACAGAAGCACTCTGCTGATCTGCAGTGCACATTCACAAACCTTCCTGGGACTGATTTCATGTCAATGAGGACTGAAACAACAACACATTTTAAAAGGGAAGGGTAATTAGGACAACTTTTGTTTTGCGCATTGTGGTGACAAACAGTCGGATTCCTTGTGAACACAGATAACTGGAGCATATAGCATCCAAACAAGAATGTAAACCGAGGAAATTGAAGACTTATTGGGTCCTGAAGTGTACTTTCTATTCACTCTAAGGCATCAGTAAAAGCCCTGACCAGTCCTGCCTTAAACTGCTTCTGAAACATATAAGAGAGGTCACAATGAACAGCATCATTATCAGAAACAAGCATTGAAACAGCAGGTGATTTTAATAACCCCATCTCTACGGGAGAAGCACTTTCCTATCCTGTATACATCTTGATTCATTAAACATATTTAGACAATTCATGTTTGATTTAGGTAAGTGATTCTTCCTTTTTATTTAAATGGTTTTTTTTTTGAGTGTCTTCTTTTTTTTGTCATCTGGCACTTGTGTTGTTCTTCTGGAATTGTGTAAATAATGTTTGAGGAGTCAATTAAACAGTTTTCGTGGGAGTTGGTGTTTTGGATTCTTTGTGCCAAATATCTTCGTCTGGTGTGAAAGTGTGTGTGTGTGTGTGTGTGTGTGTGTGTGTACGCTAATATTCCATTAAATGACCCGCATGCAAAACTTTGACTTTAGAAATGTTTTTACATTTCAGTTAAAAGCACATCTATCGTTTGTCATTGATAGAAATACACCTGCATGTGATGCAGCTGTCTGCCTCTAATAAAACCTCAGATAGGCTCTTACATGACCTGAAATGCCTGATATGTCAGGTATTCATAGAAGAGAACACACACACACACATACATCTCAGCGTGGTGAATGATTTATGATGAAATGTTCCATAAAGCTGTACACCTGAGGCTTCAGAATGTGAGAACCTGTGCACACATTTTATTTGTATGTATTCATTTCACTGCCACAAGTCATCACACCACACTACAAACAACTTAATTAAACCACAGCTCGGAGATCGGCGGGGATGACTTTGATATGGACGCTATCATGGAGTTACAATTATAACTTGATACATTTTCTCCCATAGTTCAAACAAGCTGTGAGGTGTCTGAGAGATACACATGACCATAAAGAAAGCTCAGAGATGAAAGATTGCTATCAGATCATATAGTCTGATAATGATTCTTTTTTCAAGAGTATTGTGAAACTGCATGACAAGTAAGTGGTAAAGTAATAAAGATTGGTTCCATAAGGCCTATAGTTATTATTAAAGTCAAACTTCAACACTGATGTTAAATCAGCCCAACCCTGGGGATCAGGGACCTGGTCACATGATAGCTGACAAGACATGAAATAAGAACACAAAATATTGATGTAATACAAAATGATGTGTCATTTTACAAGTTTTTTGCTTTTGTCTTGGTGGTTTACACTTACACTAGAATAATAAAGTGACTGAAATGACTTCACATGAGAAGGAAACATTCACTCACAGACTCGTGATCACCACATCCAAAATAGTGGAGGGCAAGTTTTCTGGATTCACTTTAAAATATGCTGGAGATCAAGTGTGTCTGTTAAAAACAACAACAAAACGACTCAAGCAAAGTACTCTAGGAAATTCTCTTTCTTACGTTTCACTTCTGGAAAGTTTCATTTTGACCTAACAAAACACTTTTTCATACAGCATCCTGTATTTATGTCTGGCTATCACACAACTGTAATAAGTTCAGAACACATGTTTCAGTGATTCAGCTTCATTTTAACAGAAAGTGAGGTTTATCAAATGACAGACTGTCTACTGTTTTCCAACACTAAGTGTAGTGTTTTCAAGGGTCCTTGAAAGTCTCCTTAAGACATTCAGTTTACATACACTCAAGGGACTTTCATCTTTTGTCCTGTTGGGTTTCCTTTTATCTCTGATGAAAAGGGGGATATCTTATCGTAACAATCTGCATGATACTTATCTTGTGCGCACAAGATAACAGCTTCTGACATTTTGGAACTTCAGGGCCTCTCTATCAATGAACTTAAACTAGTAAACACAACGAGGCTGTCTATGTCATTTGACTGATTGCCTTCACATTTTTATCCATGCTACAATAGCCTACTTAAATGTGATGAATTTATTTTTCATTTCATTTTCTATTTTTGAACAGGATACTGATATTCATACAGGCTATAGGTGAGATTTCTTCTTTCTGCCCTACACAACGTTCAAACTATTTTAAATCCCTCATGTCTGCAAATAAACAGAACTAAATATAAAAAACTATTTAGGTTTCAGAACATTTAGTTTTCATTGGGGCCCTTATACCATAAAACCATCTATCCGAAATATTTACCTTTTTTGTGCGCGCGTTTTCTACAAACATTAAGGCAAATATCAGTCAACTGTTTCAGGAAGGAGGGTCCACGCATGCGCAGAAGAGTAGAAAGTGTGTGACGTTGTGGTTTTATGAATCGGTGCACTGTACCGTTATGAGGTGAGTCTACGGGGGTGTGAAATTTGTCTGCCTTAAACTGCAAAATGCAAATATGTTGACTGCTGTAGGCTACCCTGAACGCTGCCGAGTAAACAAAGAATGAGGAAGTAAACAAATCAACCCGTCCACTGATGTTTTGCTTTGCTTGCCAACTCTTTGCAGACTGTGTTTATACACTGCCACTTACTAACGCATGTGCATTTTCAATTTTGCCTTTTGATATCTGTAAAGCCTGCATTACTTTAACACCATGTGACCATAGACTTTAGGCTAACAGAGAGCAGTCAGTACTACATAGGATAGAGTTCTCTAGAAAATCAATGCCTCCTGCTATAGAGGGCAAATGTCCAAGTTGTAAAACCTGCAGTACTGATTAGATCAGACGTCGTGTTTATTGAGACACTTTCACAATTGTTGTTATTGTGCCAGATGGTGTTAGACAGCTGAGTGGGGAGCAAAGAGGACTGACATCCTTGGAGTTTTTGATTGTGAGGATGAACAGTTGCCCTCAGGAAAAGATTCAAAATAGTCATGTGGTATAATTTCAAGTAATTTAAAAGGCAAAAACTGCATTTTGAGTTTGATTTCAAGCGGTAAATTGTTGCTCTTAATATTGTGTAGATGCTCTGTCAGATAATTATTACTGCCGGTGGTGAATTCTTCTTCTAAGTCAAATTATATTTCCACTATGCCTCTGTGTCTTTCACTCATAGGGCTGCCCTGTTGGCACATCTCATCCTCCCCCTCCTCCTGGCTGCAGGGAGTGAAGTCACATGGGAGGAGGTGGAGAGGAGGCCCAACATAGTCCTGATAATGGTGGATGACCTGGGCATCGGCGATATCGGATGCTACGGTAATGACACCATCAGGTAAATACTTGTGAATATGAAGCTCAAAAAAATGGGGGGGGGGGGGGGGGGGTTCTTGGACAACATGGGGAAAGACAAAAGGGGAGGACACCAGAGGAAGGAAATACTTAAAATGATATTCCTATAGGCTTGTTTATTCATTTTATTCATTTGCTGCTTCTTTGTGTCCTGTATACTGATTTGATCACCCTGTTTGTCTCTCTTGTTCCTATTTTATAATAATAATTATAATCATAACTATTTATATAGCACCTTTTAAAAGCACAGGTTTAAGTGCTTTGACAAACAGCTAAAACAAGAACAAAGCAAACTGAACCAAACACAGAAGAACATAAACAACAGCAAGAACAAACAAATGCAAAATACTAAAAATAATTAAATACAATTCAACAGAAAAGAACCCATATTGCACGATACAAATTTTACACCTGTCTCGTCTCTACAGGACCCCAAATGTAGACCGTCTGGCTTCTGAAGGAGTAAAGCTGACTCAGCACATTGCAGCTGCTCCTCTCTGCACACCAAGTCGAGCCGCTTTCATGACCGGGCGCTATGCGGCGCGCTCAGGTAAGTGAGACTCTAAAAAACTATTTACAGTGTAAAGAGGAGCATCCTGGTCCTATTTGAACAGAGGACGATTGATGTGTGTGTGTGTGTGCATATTTGCTTATTGTTGCATGTGTGCTCTGCGTAGGACTGGGCAGCACAGGCCGTGTGCAGGTTCTGCTGTTCCTCGGTGGTTCAGGTGGGCTGCCACCAACTGAGACCACCTTCGCTAAGAGGCTGCAGCAGCAAGGATACACCACCGGTCTAGTGGGTGAGAAATGTCATGGGGATCATTTATTCACAGGTTGTCATGTTGGGCTCAAAGCTGAGTTCCCTGCACTGAATAACACATGAATGTTTACACACAGCTAGATGTGACATTACAGAATACAGAGTGTGATTTCTTCAAGTGCTTGAACTCAGAGACACAATTTGAGATTCATTAAAGTAAATTATTATTGTCACACTTTTACAAGCATGGACAGCAAACTATATGGTTTATATGGTTTGCATTTAGCATTTTTTTTTGTGTGAAAGTCTGACTTGTTTTCACCTTTCAGTCGCTCCTTTTTTTCTTTTCTTTTTTCTCACTGGCTCTGCAGGTAAGTGGCATTTAGGTGTGAACTGTGAACACAGAGGAGACCACTGCCACCATCCAAACCAGCACGGCTTCGGCTACTTCTACGGGCTGCCCTTCACCCTCTTCAATGACTGTGTGCCCGGGGAGGGGAGTGACGTCCTGGCAGACCTCCAGCACACGCTCCAACATCTGACCATGATGCTCGGGGCTGGACTTTTTACTCTGGTGAGGGTGATGTTGTTAACCAATTTCATGAACGCATTATCTGAAAAATACTTTTAATGGCAGCTAATATGAGAACAAACTATTGCAGCTGGAATGTGAAATCAAAGCCGTACAAGACAGAGAGATACATTGAGTCTGACAGTCCCAAAGAAAAAAGAAGAAATTGAAAAACAAAGAGTGGCTGTACTGTTCACCCCAAAGCAAAATAAGTAATGCGTGATCAGTTTGACATGCCACGGGCTTGGGAAAAAAAAAAAAGAGACTGGAAACAGAAGCTGCGATTGTGAAACTCAGTCTTATCAGCCTGAAACCTGTTTTAGGGGATAGCAGAATAATAATGTCCAAACTAAAATACACTGAAGACTTGGTGATAGAGAGATGAATGGAAACCAGCTGTGCAACACGCAAAGCAAACCAAGAACCCTAAAACTCATTAATATTACAGATGAAGACTGAACTGAAGGCTGGCAGGACGTGTGTCCACTCGAGTGGAAATGCTCTCACTCTTAGATGTGGAGTACGGTAAATGTGGATGGATGTGTTTCATTCATTTATGCACTGCAACGAAGCAGAGGAACATTTTGCCAGAGGGGGATGCAAAAGTTTGGAGCAGTATGGACTTCAGGAAGCCAATCACGGATACTGTATTTATTACATGCATGCATACTTTGCATCAGTCTTAGAAAATATAAAATATATAAACTTGCTCTGCTTGTAAAAATCTCTGGTTTCTTTCAAAAACTCTTGATGAAGTGGGTCTTATTTATACTGCAAGGCTCTTAAATGGATTTTTTTGGAGGTATCTGACCCTAAGATAAAGTCTTATCTTTGCAATGATTGATTTC